CTGATGGAGAGAGGAAAAGAAGTGACTCTTACTGAGAAGTTTCATAAGTAACTTGTCAGAGATACGGAGCTGTTGGAGGCCGGGAGGACAGTGAGGGGCTGGAGCACCTCTCACATGAAGACAGGCTGAGAACATTGAGGCTGTTCAGCCTGGAGAAGAGAAGCTGAGTGGAGACCTCAGAGCAACTTCCTGTGTCTGAAGGGAGCCTATGAGGATGCTGGAGAAGGACTCTTCATCAGGGACTGTAGAGAAAGGACAAGGGGTGATGGATTCAAACTGAAACAGGGGAGATTTAGGTTGGATATAAGGAAGTTCTTCCCTGTGAGGGTGCTGAGGCGCTGGCACAGGGTGCCCAGAGAAGCTGTGGCTGCCCCATCCCTGGCAGTGTTCAAGGCCAGGTTGGACAGGGCTTGGAGCAAGCTGCTCTAGTGGAAGGTGCTCCAAAAGGAATTTGCAAACATTTGCTTCTATAGTGCATTTTTATGGCTTGGGAGTTTGCTTTCATAAATTTTCCATCTAGTCATTTCATGGGTTGTAAACGTGCATGTGTGAGTGCATGAATCTGCCTGTGCACACCCACCCATACCCACAGGGTTCTGTCTGTCCCACCCAGGCTGACCCGCTCCCCTTAATGCACTTGCAGAGCTCTTCTCCAAGTTCCTCACGCTGCATTACAGTTTCTCTTCATTAGCAGCCAGTAATGTATTAATGCATTCCTTAGTGGGAAGTGTGCTCCTCACTATTACCTTGGACACTCATTTAGTTGAATTTGATAGTGACAACACATTGACATTGGTAAGGTTAATGACCCAATACTTTATTTCATTGAACAAGTTGAACAACATTTAGTACGTTGTTCCACAATGTCCTAGAGAGCTGTCAGTGCTATTACTTTTATGGTACTATGGCATTTTTGCCCTTTAAGTAATTGGCACCGTGAAAATATTCTCTAGATCTTGTCACAATTGATTAGTATTGCATTGAATTACAAAAAAATGACTTTTATTTTTCTTTTGCAATCCCTTTTTGTGGAAGGAAGGCAAAATTTGATCCTTATGGAATAGAAAGGCTGACAGCCCTAAAAGTAGATTGGGGAGACAAAGTCCTAACTGCTGCCTTGGCTTTCTGGATCTGTAGCCCCACAAAGCTCTGCCCCTCACCTGTCCTGACCTGCTGTGCTCATCCCCTCTGGATTTCACAGGAGATTGTTCTAGCTCTGCTTTTTTCTGGCCAAGGCAAGTAAGGCACAGCCATTCTCAGTGAGTTCTGCTTTTCCCTGTGCCCTGGCATGGCTGCAGGGCTGTTCATGGCTTAACCACATCCCACATTGCATCTGCAGGGGAGCAGCATTAATGGTGCTGCTGGTGGAAGGCTGGTCCCTGCAGCAAACTCTGAAGCACACCAGCATCCCCCAGGCTCCTCTGTAAGATTGTCTTTCAAAGGACATGACTGTGCTCATACTTTTTAGAGGAAGGAGAAAACAAATATGTACTTAAATGGACTGGATGATGGATTACAGTGTGGCTGATTCCTATTTGCATCCACTGCTAGACATGGTGATGTGATCCCCTTGCACTGTATGTGCCAGGAGTCTTCATGGCTCAAAAGCAGAGAATACTGCATCTTCCGAAGAGGCTGGAGGATGAAAGGAAAGATGTGTAGGATGAATTCCCTGTTGACAGCCAGGTCTGAAATCACAGCTTCTAGAAAGAGAAGTGGCATTTGGTGGCAGTGGCCCAGAAGACAACCAGTGTTTTCAGCAAGGGACTTGAAGGTGCAAAGTAGAACATAGTTTTTGTGTTTGTATCAGCAACAACAACAACAAAAAAAAAGCCTTGACTTTGGATTCATGTTGTCCTTCTGTCACCTTCCCCTCGCTTTTAAATTACCCTTGATTGTACAACATCTGCTCCCTTCATGCATGCATATGGCTGTCTCCTTAAATCTGCATTTCTGTGGAGGGGCTGCATACAAATACCCAGCTGAAAGTTTTCTTTCAAAGATCTGACTACCCAGCTTGCTCTGGAAAAGCAAACTTGGCATCAAGATAACTGTAAAAAGCTGACAGTGGGGGAAGGGGATACCTGTGCAGAGGAATGGTAATGACAAGTGTCAGACAGGGACGCTGGCAACGACCGAAGATGAAGCAATCGAAGGATCAAAACTGGCAACAACCAAAGATGAAGCAATGGAAGGATCAAACCCCGCATCTTCAGAGGGGAGGTTGTGTTTCATTCTTGTATTCAAAACAGAAAATCCTCACAGATGTGAATCCTGGAACATGAGAGGAATGTCAGGTTTTTAGGTATATGAGAGAAACTCCTACAATTGGCATTCTCGGAACGTCTCCTCACCAGACATTTGCTACCCAAAATAATTCCCAAAGATTTTCAACAGAGCTCTGGGTTGCAGGTGTATAGGATGGCAAGATAAAGGTTTATCTGCTGTAGGCTCTACTTGGTAAAAAGTTATCCTTCTTTTGATTTTGAATCTTAAAAAATCACCATATAAAAGTACAGCACTGTCCTCTGATCATCTCTGGCTGCTTACAATATGTTATGTAGCTTGTTCTTCTGTTTTTATGGAATATGTTAGCTGGCTTTTAGTTTTGTGCTAGAGGAAATACATCCATATGTGGATGGTAGAGGGCTGAATTCCAAGGCCTTGGGCAACCTGGTCTAGTGGAAGATGTCCCTGCCCATGGCAGATGGTTGGGACTACATGATCTTAAGGTCCCTTCCATCCCAAACCATTCCATGGTTCTATGACTTGCAGTATGCCTGTAGGCTGCTTAATTAACTTCTCAGTGCCTTGACCTCTACTTGACAAGTAGCTGTTATCTCCTGTTCAAGTCCTTACTTTAAGCAGTCACTGTGGCATCTGGCTGAGCTCTATTCCTTCTTCTGTGCTATGTGAGGTTGGAACTGGCCAAGGGAGCTTCCAGGGTCCCCTGGGAAGAGTACAGGCAATACCTCTGTGACTGAAGATGCTCGGCTGAGGATGGTTGTGTCCACACAGGCAGCACCACTGTAGGACAGTGACATCCAGCATCCCAAGGTGAGGCAGAAGCATTTCTCTAACACTGCAAGAGAAAGGTCTCATTTGGTGAACAAGTATATTTGGGTTTTTTTCTGCTAACCTTCTTCTCTTCTGCCTTCTCTCCCTGCTGCCTACCCCCTAACCCTTTTACCTCCCTTCCCCAGCTGAGCCTTTCTGGAATATACTCTATATTTGTCTCCTGCTTCCCTGAACACCCATTATTATGTAGAATAATAATGCAGGAGCTCTGCTCGGCACCTCTGCTCAGTGGCTCCAAGTGGGTTGAATTGTAGCCAGCGGCAGGGGGTGATAAATGTAGCGTAAGATGCCTTTTCCACAGCAAACTGCAAATTGCCTCAGCAGCACAGCCCACAAAAGGTTCCTGCAGAGCAAATTTATCTCCCATTGTCGACCCAAGGAGGAAAGTGGAGAGGACCAAGCATCCTATTTTTAAAAAGTCACATTTGATCTTGTTCAGACTAAGAGTCCAGAGTATTTTAAAGGACTTTTCATGGAAACTGCAGACTTGAGAATGCAGCACAGATAAAGGGATTTATTTTTAACTGCAGCCTGGGTTCATGACCATGTAAGCATTTCAATTTTAAGCCACTCAGTTTGAATATTCACCAAAGTGAATGTTATGTCGCCTAATAACTCATGGGTGGGAGGAGGGATGGTGGCTGGTGAAGGGAAGAATAAGACTGTTAGAGAGAAATTGCCCTCTAAAGATTACCCTGCACTTCCTAAGCAAAGGAGAAGGGGAGGATCGATACCACGGGGGTTTATCTGCCCACTCCAGAGTTCACACTGTGCCTCCTCCCATATGGTTTAGTCCTCAGACAGCAGCATGACGGACAGTCCTGAGGAATGTGTGGTGATGGATATATAGTTGGAAACCCCCAGTGATGGATGACAGAGAAAGGGAGTGGGGGACGTTTGGTGATTGATCGATAGTGGCACAACCGCAGTATCCACAATTAATGGTATGAGGTGTCTCTGATGTATAACTCTAAGTACCTTTGTATTTGATACTTACTTGCCATCTTCCTACTCTACTGTCCTCTAAATGTCAGTTAATGAATTAAATACTGATAATTGGTATTAGTTTGCTGAGCTTGGCTGTGGCCAGGCAGGAGGAGCCCTCCCCACCATTCCTGAGCATCCACTGCTGCAGAGCTGGACTTGGGATGCGGTCCGAATGGTCCTCCACTCATCCGCACTGGTTGATGGGATTTGTGAGTGTGTTTCCAGGAGTAAATGCCTGAGTGCCTTTAATTGTATCCTTCATTAGCATCCTAGAGTTATTGTTTGTATTACAGTAATTGTTAGGATCCACCTCTGAGATCGAAGCTCTGGGCAAACAGAGAACAGAGCAGCTTGTGAGCATCCGCAACTGCGTGACAAGGGTGGGAGGACAAAACAAGGTGCTGGGAAGCAGGGAGAATGGCCTGGGCATAGCTGACGGGTGGAAGGAATAAGCAAAACTTCAACCCCAGTGTCCACACACTGCTCTGTGCCTCCCTTGTGTGCTAAATCCCATGGAAATGCATTTTGCTTGTGTTCACTTGCCTTCAATATGAGGTTAAAGGCTTCAAAATCTGATACATGCTTGCTGTGTGCTCTTCCAAAGCACATTAGTAAGTGCAAAGGAATTATTCTGGAATGAGGAGTGTGTAAATGGAAGTAGATTAGCTCTCTTTGCCTCAGCGTTCCTATTTGTGATATATTGCTAAGTAAATACTTTAATGCTGGTGTGAAGTCAGGCTTAATTTATTAATGTCATGCCTAATTAACCTGTCAAGATCCTTCCTCAGAAAGAGGATTATTAGGAACAATAATGTTACTATTCCACTGATGTTGCTTTTAGCTGAACTCACATGAAGAGGTGATCAGAACCTGGGAGTCAAGAAGCGATGAGCAGCACCAAGGGCAGCCTGACCTGTGTCCGGGGGCTAACAGCAGATTCCACCCAAGCAAGGAGGCTCGTGCTCTGTCCTGCAGGCACATGGGCAAAGGAATTGGTAAGAAAACATCTAAACCAGCTTGCATTATATATATATATATTCATTTTCCTTTAGCTTAGTTGAAAACACATCAACCTATTTGCAATTCCAAGTTGAATTTGAGGGACTAGATTCTATTTTTGTGGCGTTAGCATAATGAAAACTAAACGTAAGGTTGCAGTTATTTTCTGAATGGCCTTTAAGCTTCAGGTTTATTTATACACTGTTTCCAAAGGACAGAAAAATATTCTCCCTTTGTCTTCATCTAAGATATCTTCACATCTTTTCGCATGCAAATAATTCATGTCACTGAGAAAAAAGTTGTCTGTGAATCACTGATGAGTCTTTGATGCTTAACGTGCTGTCCAGCGTATGCATAGAGTTCTCTTGGAATGGAGTTTAACAAGAGAATCTGATTTTCTTCCTCACATCCTTGAAGTTTCCCATTCAGATTTCTCTTTAACAAGCAAATGAATGTTCCAGCATCATTATGGTTTCTGTTGTAAAAATGGCAGCTTCCTCCATCCTGTGTTTTCACACAACAAGGAGCCCAGCAGCTGAGCCATGCTGTGATTGCTTCCAATATGGCCTGTAGCATGGTTTGAAACAGGAGTCTGGCAGGACTCTCAGGGAGGCAACTTCCCTGTGCTCAGGGAAAACATGGCAAAACCATTTGTTTAGGAGCAGGGTTCCTTCCTGAAGGGTTTTCTATAGGAAGTTGTTGAGTCAGCTTTGATGTGCATTTGTTCAACATTTCAGTGTGAAATCTTAATGCAGAAGGGTGTTCTTATAGACCCAGGCTGAGAGAGCTGGGCTTGTTCAGCCTGGAGAAGGCTCCTTAAGGGGAGACTTTAGAGCAGCTCCAGTGCCTAAAGGGGCTCCAGGAAACCTGGAGAGGGGCTTTGGACAAGGGCCTGTAGGGACAGGCCGAGGGGAATGGCTTTAACCTGCCCCAGGGGAGACTGGGATGAGCTCTGAGGCAGAAGCTCTTCCCTGTGAGGGTGCTGAGGCGCTGGCACAGGGTGCCCAGAGAAGCTGTGGCTGCCCCATCCCTGGCAGTGCTCAAGGCCAGGTTGGACACAGGGGCTTGGAGCAAGCTGCTCCAGTGGAAGGGGTCCCTTCCCTGTTGGACACAGGGGTTGCAGCTGGAGGAGCTTTAGGGGGTATCATCTTCTAACCCAAACAAGTCTGGAGTTGTATGGTTCTCTTAGGAGCAGCCCAGAGCCACTGCTGCCCAGTGCTTGCTAAGGCTTCAAACCTGGCTCTTGCTGTGTGTTTGCAGAATGGTTAAAATCATGCTCCAATACAAATAATAATAAAATATACAATGCATCTCAAAGTGCCTGAGAGAGAATGAATAATTAGCCATAGAATAGAATATATAAACAGAAACTGCCTTAAAACCAGATGAAAATATGTCGGGAACAAGCTACTGTTACATTTTCCACCCCCATCTGAATATGTCTGGGGATGCTTAAACTCTACTCTGGAGGAAAAAACCTCTTCTCATTTCTCCTTTATTAGTATGCTACTGTAGCAGTTTTGAGAAATTAAAAATAATTGATACATTTGAGAAGGCACAAGCAGTAACTATTTCATATTTTTAAAAGCTTTGCAAAATATCCAGGAAAAAGTGCTGTGCATGCATAATGCCAAAGCTAAAATCTGCTCGGAGTGATGCAGTCAAGCCCTCTTTTATGGGAATAACCGTCCATGTGGTGTAAATGGAGGGTTTCTGCTGTAGCTGGGAAGAACCTGAGTGATCCCCGGTTTAAGTACTTGAGCTCTTTTAGCTGGGCTGGGAAAGGTTTTCCCTTCAATCAGCAAAGGTGCTTGAGGGAGAGCTCCTGGTGTAGCACCCATTCTGCTGAATACATCCATGCTGCTGGCCTCACACGCCCTTGTTCTGTAACAACAAATGCCTTAATTACAAGTGATTTGGTCAAAGTCTTGCTAGCTCTGCATGCATTAAACGGAACAGATTAAACCTGAGACGAGGCATTGTTGGGGGATTCTCTGGCAGCGGTTTTGTACCACGTTTTTTGATGCATATCTAACACATCAGCGCTCTCAGCTGTTTACAGTATCTGCATTAGGAGCAATCACACAGAGTGGACCTCCAAAGGAGGCTGGTTTTGTTAGGTAAAAGGGAATGAAGCACAGAAAATAGTATTAAAGATGAACAAACGCTTCCATTATTTCAGCAAATTAAATGCACTTCTCCAAGTGAAGAAGGCAAAAGTCAGTCATTATCTGTCTGTGGTACAGCGCAGCAGATAATAAAGAGGGGTTTATGATCTCTGAAAGCAAATTAGAGGATATTTAAACAACACATCTTTCTATGAAGCAGTGATAATTACAAAATCAGGTCAAAATACAGAACAATCTAACCCTGCCCCAAGCTAATGTTACTTGAATAAGCTGAAATCTCCTGTATTCTCTCGCAGAAGAAGGAATCATTTGGGATGCAGCTGTTCTCATTATTGTTTATCATCTGGACTCATAAACCCTTGTTAGTGTGTGTTGATACTTGTCACATCCAAAGCTCAGCACTGCTTTGTGCCTTGCTGATCAGCTGAGCAGGCACAAGGCACAGCTTCTCCCTGCTGCCACCTTCACCTCCCGCACCATTTTGGGGTAGGAAACTATGATTCTGTGAGTCTGTGAAACTGGTCTTCCTCTGGCTTATGCAGCTACGCAATTCCCACTACCAGTATCTATGCGGTCCTGAAGTTTAGGAGTCAAACAAAGGCTTATTCAAACCAGGAGATGAATTAGTGTGATCTTCAGTGAACTTTGCATCCAACCCTTTGGTGCACTGGTGTGTCCATGTTGCTTGCTTTTTCTTATTAGGCATTTCCAATAGTACCTTTTCTTTAACGCACAGTTTAGGCTGGGCTTTGGAAAGTGTTTTGATAACCTGCTCTAACTCCTAGGACTCCAGGACTGATCATCCCAGGAGCTGCTGAGGATGTTGTCCAGCCTGGACCAAACCTGCTCCCTCTGAAGCCAGTGGGATTGTTAACTCACTACTGGTAAGAATGTCAACACAGAGCACATTCCATGCTCATGAGTGACAGATACTGCATGGTTTTGACAGACAGAGAAATTAGGTTCTAAATCCTTTAGCTATCTTTTGCAAAGTTACCCATAGCCCGTCTTGTAGTGATTTTAATGACTTCTCTGGGATGGGGACAGCTGCCAGCCTTGCAGGGGCACCACGTGTTGATGGTCACATTGAACGTTGCAGGAAACGTGTGTAATGATCAGCCCCGAAACCAGGACACCTTGTTAATAGAAGCCATAATATCAGACTAAAACAAGTGTTTTGGATTCAGGCCACCTCTTTGCTATCTCCCTGGCATATGAACTCTGAATTATCAAGCATTCAGCAAAATGCTCAGTTTCCTGCTGGTTTAGCCCTGAACAAAATTTTGCTGATAAAACCAGAGGATGAGCTGATTCCCCAGACCTTCCCCTTGTCTAATCCTCTGTGACCCACAGGATGAAAATTGAACTGATTAAAGCACTAGAAAACATACTGTGGGAATCCTGTCGCCGTTCACCCCTGAGGGAAGACTGGAACGGCCTAAAAGGTCTTTTCCCTGCTCTAATTTGGGTGATCTTTATGATTCACTTTGCTCTGCTGGGGGAATACAAAGGAAGAGGCAGAGAACCTGGACAAATTGTTGCTGGCCTTGGATACTAATAGAAAGAAAGATGTCAGAGTAGATGACAATGAGGTCGCGCGTGCCAAAGGAGGGCAGCTGATGAGATCACAGCACAGCCACCAGCTCTGCCTGGCCTCTCATTAGCAGCCAGAAAAGAGCCCGGCTGATGGGAGAGGCCAGGGGTGGTGGCACCAGCAAACACACACTGCCAGAGGAGAAAATCTCCCTCTTCCTCCCCAGGGAGCTGCTGCGCTGCTTTTCCTTCTTGCTGTGAAATGGGGAAATTGCCAGCACTCTCTCAGTCCAGGTTTGTTTGTTGTGTCCCTTCCCAGAGAGTTCTCTCAGACATCTGTGAGGACTGGGTATTAGGAACAATTCCTGTCCCAGCGGGTGCTCTGGCAGTGGAGCAGGCTGCCCAGGGCAGTGCTGGAGTCACGGTCCCTGGAGGTGTTCACACACCGTGTAGAAGAGGCCCTCGGTGCCATAGGTTAGTGGTGGCCTTGGCAGTGCTGGGGAATGCTTGGACTGGATGAGCTTAGAGGTCTTTTCCAACCTGGTTAAATCTAAGATCCCCCCTCAAAAAACCTGTCCTGGGGATTGACGGGCGTCCTTTCTGCCCCAGAGGCACCTTGGGCTGTGCCTCCCTTGGAAGAATCCTTCAGCAGCAAATGCAGTTTAAGAAGTCGAGCAAAATGAAGCACACTCCTTCTCATGGTTAAGATATTAATGTAGTGGTATCCTTGGAGGAACTACAGAGCAGTTTCTAAACAAGCAACCTTTCTGCTCAGCTTTGCTCCAGGCATCTCGGGATATGTCTGCAAACATTAAATTTCAGCCCTCTGCTGTCTGACAGTTTGGGACTGGAAACCGGTCCCGAGCAGACTCAGCAGCAGATCAGATGGGTGATGACTGTGTAATTTATGGAAGCCTTTGCCTGTGTTACAGAGAAAATAATTGCAGCAGCAGGCATAAAATAATGAGCTGTGGTTGTGCTGCAGATTGTTTTCTCTTACTTTTATGGCACCTGACATCCAGTGCATGTGCTGGACAGCACATTATAGAGTCGTTCCTATAGACTGGATGTGAGACATTCCGATTAGGGTTGAGCTCAGCTCGGAATTGGGAAGTGTAATGCTCCGGCACATCACACTGACAGAGCAATTCCAAGGAAGCAGGGATTTAACTGACGTGCTGCCTGGCCAAGCTGGTCCTGAAACCAAACAGAAGCCCGAAGTTCAGAGGGTTTGCTGAGATTCGGAGTTTTTCCTAGGACAGGCAGTGCCTGGAGGCCTGGAGCTGCACTGGGAGCACGTTACTTGGGTCTTAGAGTCACTCAGGATCATCTAAAGAACAGCATTAAAAACCATGGGAGTGTGAAGGCTGCACCCATGGTGCATGCTGTAGTAGTGCCAAGCAAATATAAACGCTGTCAGCAACACAGGAAATGAATCCTTCCTTAGGACAAGGGGGTTTCCCTGCACGGAGTTTTCTGCTGTCCTTTTATCAGCTCTAGCCAGCTTGAGGAATCCAGCAAGAAACTGTATCTGCCTGGAAAATTCCTAAATACCTTGGTAGCTTTTGATTGAATGGCTTCTTTTCTAGGTCACAGCACTGCCATAGCAGGTACCATTTTCTCCATTAAACAGTGTCATTTGTTGTGAGTAATTTTGTAGGTCTCATCAGGTTACTTATTTCATAGAATCCCAGACTGGTTTGGGTCGAAGGGATCTAAAAGCTCCTCCAGTTCCAACCCCTGCCATGGGCAGGGAAACCTTCCACTGGAGCAGCTTGCTCCTCTAAGCCCTTTCCAGCCTGGCCTTGAACACTGCCAGGGATGGGGCAGCCACAGCTTCACTGGGCAATGTCCCAGAGTCTACAGCCTGGGGCCTGGTCATGTGCTGCTAAAAGAGCAGCTTCAGTTTTGGAGGTATCAGGGAAGGGTCACACACCGACCCCTGGCAGAGCTCGATCCCCAGCAGTCCATCCCTGAGATGAAAAAGAGCATCCAAAGTCACAGGGCTTTGCTACAACCTCCTGTTTCCTTCCGTGTCTCTCCAGTTAATTAGTTATGCTCTTCTTCCACTTAATTAGCTCAAAACCAGCTCTTTGTACTTAGCCTTATAAATTACAGACTTTTTCTGTCTGATATGTTATAAGGGGTGACACTTTCAGCATTTTCTTAGCAGGGTCACATTTACAATTCTTAAAGGTTTGGAAGGAGCCTCACTTAGCCCTGCTGTGGAGCACGAATGCTTGGAAAGGCTGTTCAAAGGTACCATGATTTCCTTTAAAAAATTATCAGAGGAACTGGGAGAAAAAACTTGTGAGGATCAAAGCAAATGAACTCCATTAAAAAAGACTAAGTAATGACAAAAAGTTACTGAAATAGCAAACCTGCATGAAAGTGGCAAAAAGAACTTCAGATGTCCATAAGGTACCACCTGAAAAACGCGGGTGACTGTTCAATCAGGTAGATGACAGTAGGTTGCTGCAGTCAGTTTTAAGGTTGCAAGAACATTGGAAAAGCTCAGACTCATCTATTTAAAATCAAAAAGATTTCTGGCCTTTACCACCATGCTGGGCCTATGCAAGTGATAAGCTCTAAGTGTGGAATCTCCTCAGCATGGGGATGCACAGCTCACCCAAAGGAAGGTACAAACAGCAGCCCCATGATGCATCGTCCCCATGTAACAGATTAAAAGGCTGGTGGCACCCATGACATGAGGTGCACTGGAACCAGAGCCTGGTGAGCTAAAACCTGCATGCCCAGCAAGAGGGGATGGGGGCACTGGAGGTGCTGGAACATCTCCTCGGGAGAGTTTTTGAGAGAAAAAAGTAATTAATTCACAGTGACTGCAAGAATAAATACGCAGAGAAAGGAATTTGGTGATTTTTGGCAGAATACAACAATACGTTACCAGTATTAGTATTTGGAGGAGGAGATGTCAGGAAGAGATCAATTGCACTGAAGACAAGAGTTTTAATTCCAGATTTACACCAGGGTAAGGCAGGCTAAAACCAGCCCTGTGAGTGCATTACTGACTCGGTAGTCATCCATCTGCTTCCTGCAGAAAAGCTGTGTGAACTGGGATCTGCTGGGGCTGCTCCCTCCCCACACAATACATCTCTGCTGCATGCAGAGCTGGGCTGTGCTTGCACTGTTTATCCATCTATCTTTCCACTCCAAATAGACCCGGCCCTGTGCATACACAAGACATAGACTCTGAAAATACTCCGTTAACAATGTGTCATTGAGGCAGGGAGAGGATAAACACCAACACAGCTCTTGGCAGACTTGACATCAAAGTTCACGGGTGGGTTTTTTTCCACCACTCCAGCCAGAAGTGATGTTAAGCAAGAGAGCTCCCGGAGCTGTGTTTATTGTTACAGAAAAGAGTTCACGTGCTTTGTGATCTGTTTGGAGCTTTTGAGCTCTTTCTAGGGCTGGACGCTGATTTCCTCCATGGCATTCAGAGTGCATTTCTCAAGTACACCTTATCACAGAACCACAGACTGGTCTGGGATGGAAGTGAGCTTAAAGCTCATCCAAGTTCCAACCCCTGCCACGGGCAGGGACCCCTTCCACTGGAGCAGCTTGCTCCAAGCCCCTGTGTCCAGCCTGGCCTTGAACACTGCCAGGGATGGGGCAGCCACAGCTTCTCTGGGCACCCTGTGCCAGCGCCTCAGCACCCTCACAGGGAAGAGCTTCTGCCTAAGAGCTCATCTCAGTCTCCCCTCTGGCAGGTTCAAGCCATTCCCCTTGGCCTGTCCCTACAGGCCCTTGTCCCAAGCCCCTCTCCAGCTTTCCTGCAGCCCCTTTAGGCACTGGAGCTGCTCTCAGGTCTCCCCTTAAGGAGCCTTCTCTTCTCCAGGCTGAACAAGCCCAGCTCTCTCAGCCTGTCCCCAGAGCAGAGGGGCTCCGGCCCTTGGAGCATTTTCATGGCTGCCTCTAGACTTGCTTGAGCAGGTCCGTGTCCTTCTTGTTTGGGGGGCTCCAGAATATTCTTCTACAAGGTTATCATGTAATATGAAGCTGGGGCTTGTGCTTTCAGTCCTCAGACCCAAGCCACAGAGCTCCTGGGGATGGAGTTGAGAGCAGAGCCATACATCAGGCTCTCTCCAGTGCTTCACCTTCCACTGGTGTTAACTGAAAAGGGGAAGAACCTGCCCAAGAGGGGGATAGCAGAGTTATGATGTCTCTTATTGATTTATCTACACAACACTAGGGAAAGAATACAGAAAGAGAATTTAGATAATACAAAGATAGACATTTTCAGTACTGACTTAGGGTCACAGGAATTCTATAATCAGATCTCTAACTCATCCACCTCACTTAGATTTTGCAGCAGTGGATAATACATGACACATCAGTCAGAAACCTCCGTGGCGAGCAGGACAGTGTTTTGAAAGCTGTGTCCTTGCAATATTGTTCCCATCAGAAAAGGACATTTATCTCTCCCTGGGCTCTGTGCTGCGTCCCCGATTGTTTGGAGAAGGAAAAAAGCCCAGCCAGACCAGGCAAAGCTGAAGTTTGCCATGACAAATTCAGCAAGCAGCTCATCTCACCTTGATGTCTTCTGCAGGTGCAGCTACATAAATCTAAGTGCCCGTGGTTAGTGCTCAGCTGCAGGACCAACATCTAGTGAGAGATTAGCTCAGAGAGAGGGGGAAAAACAATTCCAAAGCAGTCAAGATCTTAATCCCAGCAGTGAAAAGATGGAAGAAGTTTCCAAACAACCACATAGCTGCAAAGTGTTAGTAGTGAGCATGGATCTGATTTTACCTGTGGTAAAGCCTGCAGCCAACTGCTGGAGCCCAGACATTAAGCATAGAATCAACCAAGTTGGAAAAGACCTTTAAGATCATGAAATCCAAGCATTATGATGGAGTAAGGGCTCTGCGGTTTACACATGGCCTGCTCATCCAACCCTTCCCAGCTTTCAGCACTCAGCTCCAGCCAAATTCTTAGTTTATGGAAAGAAAATGTTGGAAACCCCCCAATTTTCCTGAAAGGGTGTCTGAAAGTTGAATTAAAGAAGCCCAAATTTTCCTTGCCCATCTTGGATGGAGAACCCGATTGGGCATTGATCCCTGGCAGGGATTTAATCATTATTTGGCAGCAATTCCATGCATGGTTTGTATCCTGTCCCTTAATTGTTTTGCAGGTTCTGCCGCAGACATGGCTTTGACCTCCAGCTCTCACCCCAGGACACACCATCTGCTGAAGGGTTTGAGGTGGTTCTCCCAGCCAGGATGAAGCAGCCTGTCCCAGTGCTTGGAGCAGGGCAGGGCTCGCCCTCAGGGACGCAGACTTTGTGCAGGTCCTTTAACACCAAAACTCTGGAATTAGGTAAAAAATCTCACCTTGGGATTTTTGGATACGAGCCTAAACTCCAAACCCCACGTGGTTGCATTGTGCCTAATTACAGCCTGTCTAAAATGTTAATGGATCCCAGCAATGCAATATTCATACTAGAGGATTATTATATTGCACATACTTTGCAGTTAATGTAGTTGGGCAAAAAGGCCCAATAATAGGAAACCAGCCTGCTGTTGGGTTGAGTTTTCTTGGCTTATTGATTGAGTTTTAAAGTTTAATGCGAGGAGACAGTTCTATAGTACAAAGTGTATTTTAAGCATCTATTTATTAAAGCTGAATTGTGCTAGAACTCCTGTGCAAAAGTACACCTGACAGCTAAATGAATAGCAAATTATTTCCCGGCGTCTGTGCTATTGTCTGATGTTTCTGTGCAGCTGGTTCCTGCATGTACTGCAGGTTAAAAGAATCCTCAACCTTCTATTTAATACAACAAACTTTGTCAGATGTTGTTATTATTTTTGCTGGATGTCATAGCCGAGTGTAATGTATGCATAAAAAACCTCCCTGACTCCTTGAGCAGCCTAAATCAGGTGGAAACAGGCTGCAGGAGTGAGGAAAATTGGAGCATGGGGGCTTTTATTTAATCTGGTTCAAACAGGCCGTAATTAGAGGCATTAAAATGCTGGTGAATCCAGTAAAACATTATTCACCATCACTAAGGATTCTGGCTAGTTCCTCTACAGAGTGGGGAGCAGGAGCTGGATGGCAGGATGCTCTGGACAGAGCAGGGGCTTGGAATGCTGCTCATGGTCCATGAAATGATAGATACCATTGCCATGGTGTTAACAGCCTGAGCACCCCACAGAGAATTCTAGAATCTCGGGGACCTCAAAAATCATCTGGTTTAACCTTTCTAGGCACAGCACCACCTAAAAGATGTCCAACACTGGGGAATCCACCACTTCCCTGGAGGGAGAAGGAGAGGAGATAGCACCCTAAGCTTTGCAAGGAAAGAGTTAAACTAGAGTTAAGGAGAGGTTCCCAGCTGCGTGTCCTTAGCAGTAATGAGCCCAGCTGGAACGAATCACCAGGTCCTTTACCATTTGGAGAGGTCCAGCAGGTGCCCAGGATTGGCAGTGGGCCTGGCTTTAAAGGCTTGTTGATAGCTGCAGCTCTGGGCGGAGGGTTTTTCTGCTTTGGAGTTTCTTGCTGGGATGATGTTCTCGAAAGAAGAAATGCAGATTCACTTGAGGCTTATTCAGGAGCAGCTTGTAGTAGTGTTTCTCCTTTGGGCAAGAAAGGTAAGAGAAATACCAATATGGAAAAAAATAGATATATGTGCTGTGTATCAGGGCATGGGGGCAGGAGTTCATTGCATGAGATACAGAAGTGCAATAAATCATTGCTATGTGTAGCCTAGAGTTGATTAAATCAGACGCTGGGTCTCTTGTTGAACCTGGAAAGTTGTGAGGTGACTTTGTGAGTTAATTGCTGTGGCTGTTGCTGGAGGGCTGGGAAGAAATGGGATTGAGGTTGCTGGTAAGGAGTCTGTGCTGATGGCTTTACCTTTTGTGCTGCTCTGCTGTAGTAACAACAGATGCTTATGGTTTCTTATTGTTGGGGTTTGGTGCAGTTTGGGTTTCTTATATTGAGTTCCTTAGCTTGAATTACCCTGTTCTCTGTGAAACAAAGATTTAGAGGGGAGGTTTAAGGGGAGATTTCCATTAGGTATATGTTTAAAATGAAAGGTGTTCAGAAGCAGCTAATAGGAAAGGAACTGGGAGTTTGATGCACGGTGGGTGGGTAAGCTGGTCATAAAGTTTGACCTGATTTATTTAATTTTCTGGGAATAATAATAATTCTTTCCTGAAGTGACAGTCTGCATGTCAAAGTTTCAGCTCAATTTGAAATAGCTGAATGATGGATTCCAAGGGGAAAATAATGCTGGGTGTGCGGTGTACGTGCTGACAGTGTCTAACCAAGGTGTTGCTCGCCACCTTAACGTGCCACAGAAGAAATTATAGGCTGGCAAAGAGAGCTGTATTTCATGTGATTATGGATTGCTTGTGTTACTATCCATTAGGAAATAAAAAGGAGAAAAGGCACTGGGGGGAGTTGTTAGTTTTTTAAGTCTTGCACTGAAAGTGTTTCAATCTGGAGTAACTGAGTTACTTGCAAAAATAGTAGTTTTAATGGTGGTCTGGCCTCTAAGGGGGTAGAACGTCTGCCCTGGCAGAATTCAGCCACCTAACCTTATAGTAGTGCTGCTTGGAAAATCACGTTTTCCCTGAACCTGTAGCATTTTTAAGAAATTAATTAATTCTGCTCTAGTTTTCCTTGTGATAGGACCTTTGAAAATCAGATGCACTGATTCACTCGCTATCCTTTGTGTCCTGGTGTAATTTATCATATGGGAGCAAAATGTCCTGTGTAAATCACAGCTGAATATCTGAAGAAGCTCGCTAAAAATTATGGGGACCATCAAAGTTTGTTTCACTGATAAAGTGTCTGAGAGCTGTTTCTGATAGTACACTGGGTATCTTTTATTAAAGATTTAATTTCAGGAGCTTTAGGTGTGATTGGATTTTGGAAGTCTCAGTGGGTAGCTTATGAGAAAAAGAACAATTGATGAAAATAGGTTGCTAAGATAACTGTCTGCAGCCTCTAATCTGTATGCTTGGTTGTCCCAGGACAGCAATCCCCACAGCCCTCCAGAGGCCTCTGATTTTATGCTATGCAGCAATAACATGGTCCATATACTGTGCAAAGACCACCTGTAACTCCTGGTCCCAGGTCTTGAAAACATTTATGTACATTATTTAACTCCACCTCTTAAAATGGGGCCCATTGGCAAGCCCCATGGATAGATGAGCATGTAAAAGCTGTGTTTGGATGTATCGGTGCTGTGAGCTATGGGTCTCTACCAGTGTGTTTGTATCAGCCCAGTGTCGCTGCAGCAGCTTCTGTGCAAAGAACAAGCCCAGGCACCAGCCTGGGACCACATCTGGCAGGAGCTTTCTCACCTTCTTGACAGTATTATGGGGCCTGAATTCAAACCAGGAGCTCGTAGTTGGCACCAGGTTGAGTTTATTTGTTTAGGATGTTCAGTTTTGTGGTGTTCTTTGCATTTGTTTTAAGAGCTAAATAAAATTTGCTGAGTCCATATTCTACTCTCTGTTGATGCAAGTGTAAATCAGGAAACTAGCCTGCCCTACCCTATAAAAGGCTCAATATTCTTTTCTACAACTGCCCATTAAGCTTCACAAATGGATAAATAAGGAACCGAGATGTGTCATTTATTCATAGCACTTGGAAGGCGGGGAGGAATGCCATAAATCCATGGGCACCTTGGGCTTCACATCTGTCACTAAGCAACCTGGAGCATCACGGCTGGCGGTGGTGCTGAGCACACGTCCCCTTGCCTTTCCCCCAGGCCTTTGTCTTCAGACCACAGGAGACACACTTTGCTGCCCACCACCAAGCCAGTGCCCCTGCCTGAACCCCGGGAGCTCAAGAGATGGTGGCTTTTTAGCCCTGCTCCTTCTCACCTCTTCTTTTCTGCCATCTCACCTGCCCAGACCCTCTGCCTCCTAATTTCTCTCCATTTCACTCTTCTGAACTCTGTAGACCTGGTTTCTTACTGTGTCAATGCAGCTTATAGGTAAGAAAAGCACCATAGATGTCACATAACCGTCGTGCCAAAAGAAGCAGGAAATAAGTTATTTAGCTCTCCTGCACGTGTGATGTGTGTGTGGAAGGGGGGGGCTTTTGCAAATGCACTAGGAATAATAATTAAACTCGCAACTCCTCATTATTAAAATGGAGTTACAGGAATGCTTCTGGCCTTCGGGATTATGTGACCATCCTCACATAGCATTATGTAAAGCCGAAGGCTTCGGGAGAAGGGCATCATCTGCAGTAACAACAACATACCTCCCTGTCTCCATATAATAGAAAGCTGGCGGTTTGAAGGGGCTGATAGATGAGACGGGAGCACCTTGTTTGCACTGCAGCAGAGCCCAGTAGTGAAGGGGCAAAGGCAAAGGTGTATTTCTCAAAGAAAATGATGTAAATGAGGTAAGAATCCCTCCAGTTAGTGAAGTTACTCCAGCAAGTGGCTATATAAATGTCTTTATATTGTTATTTCTGATATTAGTTTGTTGTTCCTCCATGAAAGCTGATTTATTTGAAATGTTATTACTTGAAACACCCTAATCTTTTTGTAATAATTCATATACTGGAGATTACAGTTTTGGAAGGCAGCCCAGCTCTGGCTGGAATCCTATTTATGGATTAAAGGATTTGAACAGCATTGCAAGCTAGATCTCCGAATAGCAGGATAATGTAAACCTGGTTCCATATAAAATGCTTTACCTCTGCAATAGTAACCCCATTAAAGGCAGATTGTTGGAGGACATTGGACAAGAGGACTTTCATTACAGTAAAGCAGGATATCTTGCACCCCTGAAGAGCAAGGATTTTCAGGGCTGAGTCTTCCCCTGGTTAAGATGCTCTCAGCTGCATCTCTCCTTTCTTGTGGAAGCCATCATGCCAACTAATTATAGGGGCGTTATGGTAGGTTTGAACAGACCTTCTGATGCAAGAGCCGTTGTTTCTGGTGAGAATTGAGCCACCACAAATGAGGTGCTCCAGCAAAGAGCAACTCCTGCCCCATAGCGGGAGGGAGGCAGCTGGGAGCTGTGATTCCATGTAAACAGCAGCACAAGGGCCCACCCCAGGGCTCATTGGTGTTATTGAAGGGACAATCCCACCCCAGGAAACTGGGAGCTTTGGGGAGTGTTGTTATTAATTTCCTATTTAATGTAACAGCATGTGGGGAGCCCAGTCACAGGCTGGAGCACTGTTGAGACAAGATTTGAAGCAGAGCACTGAAGTGGCTATGGGGCTATTTATAGGCAGCTTTTACCATAATCAATGTGCAATAGAGCCTGGCACCCTGGGCCAAGTGGAAGAAAAGGTGGGAAAGGGAGGCCAAGCAGTTGGGAGGGATGAGCTAGTGGAGAGCTGCACAGAAAGGGGTGATGCAAGACAAACCTGCTGGTGTTCAGAAGATGGAAATGTGCTTGTTGCAATAATTAGGCCAGAAGATGATGAAAACCTGGAGAAGACTGAACCCCAGGGAAGGCTGAATGGTAGAGATACTAGGCAAAAAATCCCTCAAGATTTATTGGTGCTGTGGATGTAATGCCCTGGAGAGACTTCTAAGCTGATGCTCAGCTTTTCTTTATTGTATGTTCCCTATAGAAGCAGAGGAAGGCATTTGAGAAGAGTGCTTAGGAGAAGATTAAGATCTTGCTATTTCCATATGGGTGCAGTGCTAATACTGAGGAGGAGGTGGGGAGGAAGACTGCTGTGATCAGCTGCACAGCATTGCAGGGGGATTAGAGCAGAAATACATGATGAGGATCACCTGCTCCGGGAGGTGAGGCTTTCCTTTGGTGCCAATGATGCTCTGCAAACGCAGGCTGTAATAAACAGCTATAAATGGGGTGCTCAACACATGTGTTTGCAGGTATTGCTTGTATCCACCCACCCAATTGTGGTCTAAAAGCAGCAGTTCTGTGGCATGGGGAATGATTACAGCACTGCCCTGGGCAAAAATCATTCCACTGCTCCAGATCTCCACTTCCTTGTCTATGGAACAGGGTAATACTATGTGCATCCCAGAGGATTTGAGCATTACTTATTATTTCTATAGGGATTTGAAGGTTAATAGCTTTACACAAGCCTAATTAATTGCTATTATTTAGTTTAATATTCTCTCAGGGTACTTTGTCCATACAAAGCTTGTTCTACCATCCTCCATGTAAGAGCATCTTGAAGCAGCACAGTGTGGCTGTGGTACAGGAGTGTTTATCCAAAAATGAGAGGCTGTGCAATAGGATGCACAGGTATGCCAGAATTTATAGTGATCTAATACATTGCCTGCTATATTGTGCCCTGCTTTTCAGACAACAGTAGCTGGTCACTATTCAGGGTGTTCTGATAAAAACAATGGTAGAGCAGCTCTTCAGTGGAGGCAAGGTCAGATGGGACTATGAAAGAAATAAGGGTAATAAACACTTCTTTCTGTGATGTAGATTGTCTTAACTCTTTGTATTTGTTGACCCTAAGTGAAGGTGGGCTTTGGACTGATAAGCTCAAGTGTTCACTCTGGTTTTTGCAAGAGTCAGATTTCATGCCTCTTTAGGCTGTTTTCAGAGAGCCCAAACACTTCTTGCAAGAGAACTCTTGTGTTAATGCTTCTGAAATAATTCATGGAGGCTTTTGATGTGGTCGT